CAAGATACTCTCGAGCCCTGTCAGACCATACATTCACTCATCCAGGACCCGAATTCCTCATCTAGGCGACACATCTCTTACCCCAACATTATCCCCTCTATTCAAGCGTATGCAAGTATTCGCGCCTCACAAGCCTGCGTAAATTTCTCAGGTTGATTATCTGCTCTCCATTCAGCTGGCCATGAAGCTTCCGGGTCCCGGCCCCTGCACGGAGGTTCTACTGGGTACTCCTCCATGCGAAGGAATGGTCTGGCGGAAATGGTAGCACACCGAATAAAGACCAGGCCATTCCCATTTTCTTCAAATTTTTTTTTGTGCCGTTCACAGAAATCACACACGTACGCACTTAGTCAGAGTTAGGGACATCAAAGGAATGGCCTGGTGGTGCAATGGTAACACACCTACTTCGTGTAAGTAGATTACTTGTGTTTAGTAGGGGATCCTTGTTCGATTCAAGGTCGGCCATGTTCTTTTTCTTGAGGGTGTTGACATCACCGAAGTAATAGAGAGTCAAGTCTGAGGGAGGTTTGAGGACGGCCTGGTGGTGTAATGGTTGCACTCCTGCTTCAGATATACTGGTTTTCGCTGATGGTATGTAGGGGGTCCTTGTTCGATTCAAGGCTAGGTCGTTTTGCGCTTCTGTGATAATTTTTTTCTTTATGTTGTTCGCGTAAGTTATAGTATATTCTCAGTGAGGATGGGGATGGCCTGGTGGTGTAATAGTAACACACTTGCTTTCTGTGGCACAGGGAAGAGGTTTCAGCATGAGATCCTTGTTCAATTCAAGGCCGGGCCATTCGAATGGAATTGGTTTTTTTTTTTCCTCCGCCGGACGTGCCTGAGTACCTTTTTTTCTGATAATTAATAAATCCCGCCCGAAATGCTCTGAATTTCAACTTGAACTTAACTTCAATGAGGACGGGCACGTCCTCCGGAGTCACCCGGATCCGGCAATCCGGCAACGCCCAACTCTCTTTGGTTTTTCGCTTCCACCGCTTGCTTTCTGGTCTGTCTGCAGGCGTATCTAGTCCCTCTTCGCTCGAATCATCTACTTCTAGCTGCTTGTACTCCTCAAGACATCAACACGAGATTTCACCAGACTTCGCTCCCGGCTGCCTTGGACTGCCACCTGCTGAATTCCGCACCCTCGGCCTCGCACACTCAAGAAGCGAAGCACTCCGTGCGACACTGAGTCTCCGTGCCGCAGACTCACCCTCGTATCTGGTATCTCATCGTGCCTTTTTAAATCCAAGCGCCTCTTCAACAACACCCACTTCCCAGTTTCCGCTGGCAGGCTCAAGCTTCTCATCAAACACCACTCGGGAGTTGGAACACTTTGCTGACTCAAACTGCCTCCGCGTTGCAAGGGCAGCTGCTTCTCTTGCATTCTGCTCCCTCGGGCTGCCAAAACATCAAGCGCGTCGAACGCACCACGCAGTTCAATCTTTTCAGGCTCTAATTGCAATCTGCGCGTCCCTTCTCTCGTATTGCTCGTATATATATATTTCTTGTTTCGGGTCTCTCCATCTTGAATTTTGATTCAAGCTGATTTCCTACGAGGTGGCCCTTCCATCCATCTATGTCCCGCCGGCCTTTCATCCCTACCACGTCCTAAAATGAGCACCGGTGTTGAGTCTCGAATGGCAGGGTCAAGTCCTAGCGGAAGCTGCTCTGTCAAAGCCCTTTCTGGGATCTCCAGTCCGCCTGCACCGCGTAGCTCGCTCTGCCATCTACTTTTAGGGATTTATTTTATGCCTCCCTCCGAAAGGATCCTCTTGAATTCATATTGGTACGCATGGCGGTCCCGATAAGTATTTGACTTACACATTTAATTTGGCTTTCCTTCTTTCGTATTTGGGTCGATCCCCTGCCCAGGGACTTCGAATTCTTCCTCTGCCAAATGAGCTGTTGGATTCAAGCTGCATGATTGAAAAGGAATTCAACTCCCCCTTCATCAGATTCATGCCAACTGGCTTTTTTGAGGTATGGCCCTGGTAGTGTGTTTTATGCCAATGTTTAAACAAGAGCCCCTTGTTCAACTCAGGCCAATTCTCAAGAATTGAAGTCAGCGAGGAACCGGGACTGGTTAGAATCATTATTCAGACGATGAAGGTATGAGGGAGAGTGGTCTTACAATCGAGTAAGGATGCCGGAATCCATTCGAACAGCTCCTTCAAATAGCGATTGAGTTTTTTTCAGCGATCGAGCATCCGCTCCTGCACTTCTAGTGTCGATATCGACGTTGCGTCTTCTAATGTCTAGACGGTCAATGTAATGGGCCGTGCTTTTAGCATGAATTATGTTTTTACACTCCAGTAACATTGTGGTCCATAGCTTCTAATGTAGGGTTCGTTCTCTAGTCTCGAAGTTGTAAATCTAAAAGTAGGGCTAAGTGAGCTGAAATGCATAAAAGCCGGGCTCGGTTAGGGCTTGAATTATGTTAGGTCAGTGGTTGAGTCCGGGCTCGGTCAACGGTTGAAGGTCAGGCTCTGTTAGGAAATTTCGCGGTAGGCTCGGTTAGGACTTTTCATGCGGGCCAAGTTACTTGGTTTGGGGCGAAGTCCTATTTGCGTTGAAGACTGATTTCGGGATTGTCAACGCGGCATCAAATTAAAAGATCACAAGACATGCCGTCGCTACGCTCCGGCTTCTTACTTGTTCTTAATGCAATCTAATCTACAGGGAGAAAAATTCGGTCCAGCTCTTGTCGGAATCTACTTCTACATAGTATAGTCTCAAGGAGAATTAGATAAGGCTCCAACCATTTCGTTTCCGTTTGCGAAAGTCCCCAAACTAAACGGAAACGGTGAAAATGTGTTTAAAAACCGTTTAAACTGTTTATAAATGGTATGGCCGAGGTAGCATTCTTACACCTCTCTGGATGGATTTACTGTAGTGCTTGGGGCTCCTTTATGGTTCCAGAGTCTCATATCTGTCTCCGACTTCGATGCTGGAGGTTGTTTAGGGCTTGAACACAATAGTTTAGTTCGCCGAGATGCCCGGGAGCGGTCAGTTCTGGAAATATCTCGTCCATCGAGGATCCACGGCGAGAGGTAGGTCTTGTGGTTTGTTCAACCGTTCACCTGTCTCGTTTTGCACCATAATTATAGCAGATGCTCAGAAAAATCGGTCACCAGGTGGTTAATTTTCACAACCGTTTAAACCGTTTGTTTACTATCCGTTTACCATTTACGCAGGTCCATAAAATAAACGGAAATATAAACGGTATTTACCGTTTAAAATGTTTATAAATGGAAATGGTTGGAGCCTTAGAATTAGAAGCATTGTTTATTTGAATGACTGAGTGAATACAAATCCGAGCAAGGCCATTCTTTGGACTCTTTGCCCGGCTCACGTTCGAATAGAGGACATTGCCTGCGTACTCCGTGAATAAATGTCCGTCGCTTGTCTGCATTTCTTTCCCTCGTCTGAATGCCGTCCGCCACACTCAGCGGGTCATTCCCGCACTCACCCTTCGACCATACACTCCATTGTTACTGAGAACAAATGCTTGGCTTCGATGCCGGCCGTCCGACGCGAGCACGCTGTATGCAGCTGCTGTGTATGAAGTATGGAGCATCTTCCATCAACGGCAAATTGGTCGACAGTTATTCCACCTACCATGCGTCACGTCCGCTCTGCGAACGGCCGAAGGAAGAAGTTGTTGGATACGTGCTGAGTCAAGCGCAAGTTTGCCTGAGTGCGCTTCACATACACGTCCGCGTGTACGTGTGGAGTACATGCAGAACTATACTTGGGTTGGTACAAAGGAATGAAATCAGCGAGGCATCAGGGAGATTGGAATTGAGTGCACACCAACTATTAGTGAATGCTCGCGCGCCTTCAAACGGAGCCTGGCACACGCTGTGAGTACCAGTAATTATCACAGGGATGGTGCGAAGGTTGTTAATTGTTCACCAGTGGGAGGATCGTTGCGCGTAGCGTAGTCAGAGGACTCACCTTGTATCATAGCGCACGGACGGCCACAAAATATGAAGGTGATCAGTGGTGAGGCAATTGAAAGGAGATACTGCATACTTTGGACGAGACGATGAGGATGGGAAGTCTGAACCCCGGTCTGTCCGCATTTAATGCGGCGGTTTGCGGTCTCGTCCGCTGAGGCGGGGAGTGCAGCTAGAGCATCAGGTGAGATGTGGGGTCCGACTCGGGTATCCTGATTGGAGTGCATACCTTGTGCGAAGGGAAAATCAGCTTCATTGTTCAGTGCTGGCAAGCACCGAGCGGGGTTCTTGATGGCCTTCACTGGGTGAATACAAAGATAAGGGATGGGGTATCGGGAAGGCTCAGTGCTCACCATTGATCTCCCCGTTGTCCAAGTGAATGGTGGGTGGAGGATATGTTCAATGTTTATCGTGTAGACCTATGTGAGGATATTCGCGTGCGGCGCGGACCGCGCGATGGCGTTCAAATCCCGAGGAGGATCGCTGAAGGCAAAGCGAAATAAGGAGGAGTCGAGGTAATTGTAAGAAAATACGAGGAGGAGATCATGTAAGACGAGGAAAGTGGGTCGCTCTGGAATACATCCTCGGCTGTGCACCTCCTTCAGCCCACACAGGGCCAAAGAGGACGTCGCCGCGCGGGCGATGACACCACTTTGCGGGGCAACTTCTATTACAAAGAAATAAGATCAGTTGATGCATCGAGGGCATATGAGTGCATACCGCAGGCAAGACGGCGGGGATCGCGCTTGAAATGTTCTGGAATGCCGACGGGTCACGACTCGCATCTAGACGCTTCTTATCCATATTTACCTCCAATGGGACCGACTTCGGGCGCGCTGTGAGATCAGGCTAATGGGTAAAGATGGCGGAGAGATGTATTGCTTGGACCTGTGGGAGGATCGTGAGGTTAGCTGAGGAGTTGATCGGGAAGCAATGCCACTGGGACACGGTTGGAAGGGGTGAGGTGAGTGTTGATCATGCGTACCAAGGACAATGGGTGGGGCTGGGGCTGCAGCGTTGCGCGAGCACGGCGTCCCACGACGGCTCCAATTCTCGGCCGGAGGCAGCGAGTATCACGGCTACAGGGACAGCTGAGATATGTGGTCGTGCACCCCAAATTGGAACACCTACTTACCTTGGCCGAAGTGAACAGTGGCTTTGGGGGGCTGCCAGACCCATGGTGGGCGGCGGGATTGAACTGCCTCCGGTCAGCGATACAGTGACGACGAATGGAACATGATTAGAAGAGTACTTACGTGTACGATTGTTACTACCAGCGTCGTTCCAGGGGGAAGGCAGTGCCTAGCAGTGGAGTTTCTGAGGAAATGGGGGAGGGAGAGATGATGGTAAGAGGGCAAGAGGCGTACAGGACAGTGCTTGCCTTTCTATCGGCTGTTGAGCGGTTGATTAACTGTTGTGCGCTGGTCCACAGGGCGGCTTCCGAAGTTAATTTGTGATATATGGAGTCAACTAAAGTAAAACCAACCACAAACGGGGAAATTTCGGATCAGGCCAAACAGGTGCACTCTGATACGAGGCATCTGCTTAATATACGAGTAATTGATCTTGCATCATGCATCACTTCACATGGTCGCGTTTGCGCTGCTTCGCCTTACCGCCGCACCTTGGCCGCACCCAATCATGTCGTCTCCCTTCACCTCAAAGCTGGGGACCAACTATTGCCCCCGGGGCGAGGAGATAGTGCAGATCCGAACTCTCCTCATTGAACCCACTCTTCAATTGAAGCATCTCGATGATGAAATCGCCGTTTTGCAGAAGGCACTCGATAAGCTGACAGAGGAGCGTACCGGGATCAGTGCCTACGTGGACGCCC